TCTCTAATAAATTAAATCCGTAAGTGGATTTTAACAGCGTGATTTCTTCTTATTTATGACCCGCATTACTTGTTTGTGTAAAAATAAAAGTATTAATAATTCTTTTATTTCTATAAAGCTCCCGTTTAACCTTGGCTTTCTCTTATGTGTTTTGATGATTATTTTTATTTCACAATCTTTATTATTACAAAATGAACAAAAAAAACATGAGGTTTCTAGAGTATAAGTGTTTAGAACTCCCCAAATATCAACATCCAATGTTTCAACAACCAAAAATTGAATGTCAATGTTGTGTAATGACACAGAGTCAATTTCCTCTTGATCTGTTTTTCGAATTTCCGAATTTGGATCAAGATAACAGACATAGAATGAGATTCTCCTATGTGTTTTGATGATTTTTTTGATTTCACAATCTTTATTATTACAAAATGAACAAAAAAACATGAGGTTTCTAGAGTATAAGTGTTTAGAACTCCCCAAATATCAACATCCAATGTTTCAACAACCAAAAATTGAATGTCAATGTTGTGTAATGACACAGATTCAATTTCCTCTTGATCTGTTCTTCGAATTTCCGAATTTGGATCAAGATAATAGACATAGAATGAGATTCTCCTATGTGTTTTGATGGTTATTTTTATTTCACAATCTTTATTATTACAAAATGAACAAAAAAACATGTGGTTTCTAGAGTATAAGTGTTCAGAACTCCCCAAATATCAACATCCAATGTTTCAACAACCAAAAATTGAATGTCAATGTTGTGTAATGACACAGAGTCAATTTCCTCTTGATCTGTTCTTCGAATTTCCGAATTTGGATCAAGATAACAGACATAGAATGAGATTCTCCTATGTGTTTTGATGATTTTTTTGATTTCACAATCTTTATTATTACAAAATGAACAAAAAAACATGAGGTTTCTAGAGTATAAGTGTTTAGAACTCCCCAAATATCAACATCCAATGTTTCAACAACCAAAAATTGAATGTCAATGTTGTGTAATGACACAGATTCAATTTCCTCTTGATCTGTTCTTCGAATTTCCGAATTTGGATCAAGATAATAGACATAGAATGAGATTCTCCTATGTGTTTTGATGGTTATTTTTATTTCACAATCTTTATTATTACAAAATGAACAAAAAAACATGTGGTTTCTGGAGTATAAGTGTTCAGAACTCCCCAAATATCAACATCCAATGTTTCAACAACCAAAAATTGAATGTCAATGTTGTGTAATGACACAGAGTGAATTTCCTCTTGATCTGTTCTTCGAATTTCCAAATTTGGATCAAGATAACAGACATAGGATGAGATTCTCATATGTGTTTTGATGATTATTTTTATTTCATAATCTTTATTATTACAAAATGAACAAAAAAACATGAGGTTTTTAGAGTATAAGTGTTCAGGACTCCCCAAATATCAACATCCAATGTTTCAACAACCAAAAATTGAATGTCAATCTTGTGTAATGACACAGAGTCAATTTCCTCTTGATCTGTTTTTCAAATTTCCAAATTTGGATCAAGATAACAGACATAGGATGAGATTCTGATATTAGTTTTGATGAATATTTTTATTTCACAATCTTTATTATTACAAAATGAACAAAAAAACATGAGGTTTTTAGAGTATAAGTGTTCAGAACTCCCCAAATATCAACATCCAATGTTTCAACAACCAAAAATTGAATGTCAATGTTGTGTAATGACACAGAGTGAATTTCCTCTTGATCTGTTCTTCGAATTTCCAAATTTGGATCAAGATAACAGACATAGGATGAGATTCTCATATGTGTTTTGATGATTATTTTTATTTCATAATCTTTATTATTACAAAATGAACAAAAAAACATGAGGTTTTTAGAGTATAAGTGTTCAGGACTCCCCAAATATCAACATCCAATGTTTCAACAACCAAAAATTGAATGTCAATCTTGTGTAATGACACAGAGTCAATTTCCTCTTGATCTGTTTTTCAAATTTCCAAATTTGGATCAAGATAACAGACATAGGATAAGATTCTCATATTAGTTTTGATGAATATTTTTTTTTCACAATCTTTATTATTACAAAATGAACAAAAAAACATGTGGTTTCTAGAGTATAAGTGTTCAGAACTCCCCAAATATCAACATCCAATGTTTCAACAACCAAAAATTGAATGTCAATGTTGTGTAATGACACAGAGTCAATTTCTTCTTGATCTGTTCTTCGAATTTCCGAATTTGGATCAAGATAATAGATATAGAATGAGATTCTCCTATGTGTTTTGATGGTTATTTTTATTTCACAATCTTTATTATTACAAAATGAACAAAAAAACATGTGGTTTCTAGAGTATAAGTGTTCAGAACTCCCCAAATATCAACATCCAATGTTTCAACAACCAAAAATTGAATGTCAATGTTGTGTAATGACACAGAGTCAATTTCCTCTTGATCTGTTTTTCGATTTTCCGAATTTGGATCAAGATAACAGACATAGAATGATATTCTCCTATGTGTTTTGATGATTATTTTTATTTCACAATCTTTATTATTACAAAATGAACAAAAAAACATGAGGTTTTTAGAGTATAAGTGTTCAGAACTCCCCAAATATCAACATCCAATGTTTCAACAACCAAAAATTGAATGTCAATGTTGTGTAATGACACAGAGTCAATTTCTTCTTGATCTGTTCTTCGAATTTCCGAATTTGGATCAAGATAATAGATATAGAATGAGATTCTCCTATGTGTTTTGATGGTTATTTTTATTTCACAATCTTTATTATTACAAAATGAACAAAAAAACATGTGGTTTCTAGAGTATAAGTGTTCAGAACTCCCCAAATATCAACATCCAATGTTTCAACAACCAAAAATTGAATGTCAATGTTGTGTAATGACACAGAGTCAATTTCCTCTTGATCTGTTTTTCGATTTTCCGAATTTGGATCAAGATAACAGACATAGAATGATATTCTCCTATGTGTTTTGATGATTATTTTTATTTCACAATCTTTATTATTACAAAATGAACAAAAAAACATGAGGTTTTTAGAGTATAAGTGTTCAGAACTCCCCAAATATCAACATCCAATGTTTCAACAACCAAAAATTGAATGTCAATATTGTGTAATGACACAGAGTCAATTTCCTCTTGATCTGTTTTTCGAATTTCCGAATTTGGATCAAGATAACAGACATAGAATGAGATTCTCCTATGTGTTTTGATGATTTTTTTGATTTCACAATCTTTATTATTACAAAATGAACAAAAAAACATGAGGTTTCTAGAGTATAAGTGTTTAGAACTCCCCAAATATCAACATCCAATGTTTCAACAACCAAAAATTGAATGTCAATGTTGTGTAATGACACAGAGTCAATTTCCTCTTGATCTGTTCTTCGAATTTCCGAATTTGGATCAAGATAACAGACATAGAATGAGATTCTCCTATGTGTTTTGATGATTTTTTTGATTTCACAATCTTTATTATTACAAAATGAACAAAAAAACATGAGGTTTCTAGAGTATAAGTGTTTAGAACTCCCCAAATATCAACATCCAATGTTTCAACAACCAAAAATTGAATGTCAATGTTGTGTAATGACACAGATTCAATTTCCTCTTGATCTGTTCTTCGAATTTCCGAATTTGGATCAAGATAATAGACATAGAATGAGATTCTCCTATGTGTTTTGATGGTTATTTTTATTTCACAATCTTTATTATTATAAAATGAACAAAAAAACATGTGGTTTCTAGAGTATAAGTGTTCAGAACTCCCCAAATATCAACATCCAATGTTTCAACAACCAAAAATTGAATGTCAATGTTGTGTAATGACACAGAGTGAATTTCCTCTTGATCTGTTCTTCGAATTTCCAAATTTGGATCAAGATAACAGACATAGGATGAGATTTTCATATGTGTTTTGATGATTATTTTTATTTCATAATCTTTATTATTACAAAATGAACAAAAAAACATGTGGTTTCTAGAGTATAAGTGTTCAGAACTCCCCAAATATTAACATCCAATGTTTCAACAACCAAAAATTGAATGTCAATGTTGTGTAATGACACAGAGACAATTTCCTCTTGATCTGTTCTTCGAATTTCCGAATTTGGATCAAGATAATAGACATAGAATGAGATTCTCCTATGTGTTTTGATGGTTATTTTTATTTCACAATCTTTATTATTACAAAATGAACAAAAAAACATGAGGTTTTTAGAGTATAAGTGTTCAGAACTCCCCAAATATCAACATCCAATGTTTCAACAACCAAAAATTGAATGTCAATGTTGTGTAATGACACAGAGTCAATTTCCTCTTGATCTGTTCTTCGAATTTCCAAATTTGGATCAAGATAACAGACATAGGATGAGATTCTCATATGTGTTTTGATGATTATTTTTATTTCATAATCTTTATTATTACAAAATGAACAAAAAAACATGTGGTTTCTAGAGTATAAGTGTTCAGAACTCCCCAAATATTAACATCCAATGTTTCAACAACCAGAAATTGAATGTCAATGTTGTGTAATGACACAGAGACAATTTCCTCTTGATCTGTTCTTCGAATTTCCGAATTTGGATCAAGATAATAGACATAGAATGAGATTCTCCTATGTGTTTTGATGGTTATTTTTATTTCACAATCTTTATTATTATAAAATGAACAAAAAAACATGTGGTTTCTAGAGTATGAGTGTTCAGAACTCCCCAAATATCAACATCCAATGTTTCAACAACCAAAAATTGAATGTCAATGTTGTGTAATGTCACAGAGTCAATTTCCTCTTGATCTGTTTTTCGAATTTCTGAATTTGGATCAAGATAACAGACATAGAATGAGATAAGTTTTTTTAGAGAGAAACTTGGGTTGACTTTAACTTACCCTCTAATTCCTTCGTATTTTCAACTTGGAAATTTTTAGAACAATACAAAATTTCGTCAACCAATCATTGTTATATCCTCTTAAACAAGAAAAACTTACACATAAGTACCTACCAAACCAAAGATTAATCGATATACAACCATCCTCTCCGACCCCGGTACTACTTTAATATGACATAAATTCTAAAAATAGAGCTGAGGAAGATACTGCTGCTGCGTTTTTACTAAAGTATAAAAGATATAAGCAGGTAAGCCAAAGGAAATAATAACAAAAAGATCCTTGACGGCGCAATGTTTTGTGTTTTCTTGACGATTTTCGCGGTCCACGCGTGTTTTAGTGCTCCTTGTCCACAGTTTTTGCCTGTGACAGTTCAATTAGGTATGAGGATTTTATTTTGAAATCGGGGTTTTGTTTTAAGGTGCAATTTTCAGATCCTTATATGCCCATGAGTAGGGCTTCAGTCAGCTTGAAGACGTTAGTGAAAGTGAAAGATGATCAGGACAAGCTTGAAAGTAATCTGGTACTTTCTTCGTCCGGTAGGTATAAGTGAATTTTGCAGTTTTTCGGAAAAATATAACGTTTTATTTTAGATTATTTAAAAGATGCTACCACTAAAAGACAAGAGTTGTTTGAAGTACCAGCATTTCCAGTAAAAACTTCAAGTAAAATGCTAAATTACTTAAAACATGTGTTTTATTAATGATAAATAATTTAATTTCAGCCAAAAAACGAAGAAGAGCCAGACCAAATGGTAAATAATAAAATAAATTAATAAAAACAATCAATATTGATTTTGATTTTGTAGGACACAAGAATTTGATTTTGAATCCAAACACTGGATGTAAGATGACCCAAAATACTTAAATTTGGTAATTTTTTTAATTTGATTGGGTTTTAGGGGCACTTAAAACCATAAACGACCAACCAGCCATGGAAGTACTAATGACTGACAAAGGTGAAAATTGATTTTAATGGAAAAGTGTGATTCTTTATAGAAAATCATGTTTTAGCTTCTGTAGCAAGGGACCTTAAGGATTCGACTGAAAGTGCTCTAATTGCAGTGAAAAAACTCAAAAATTAATTATCTAGTTATTACAACTTTTATTTAATAATTACATTTTATGTTAAGAAGTAGGACTTAAGGAAGTCTCACTTAATTCATATATGACTCAAATCAGTACATTGTGCAAAGTTACTTGTTAGATTGGACCATTTTCTATAAATAATGATATTTCAATTTGTTTCATTTAACACGATTTTCGCCAATTTTCCCTCCCTAATGACGCAACTGCTTATAGTTAGCTAAACGTTATTTTTCGTTTTTTTCCATGTAGGGTGCATCATGGAAAAAAAAAATGGAGGGTAGAGGAAAATTGACAGTGGCTCTAGATACCCTATCCTCAAAAGTAAATTGGAAAAAATGTTGTATTTGTCAAATTTGTGGTGGAAAAACTGTTTGCCCTGCAAACAATCCAGTTGATTCAAAATAAAAGATATGCTACACTAGCTTCTAATTTTCTACTTTTAATGCGTTACAATCCATGTATACTCCCATCCAAAATGCAAATTGATAGTCTTGGAGGGGAAGGAGAAATTGGGAAAACTGTCATCGAAAAAAAAGCACAGTGGCACCAGAAATACGTTTCCCCGAAATTTGACTTACCCTTTTAATTATTATCGAAAACTAATGCGGATGAATCATGCTGTGAGTTGCAAGAAGAAGCTCGTGCATGTTCTTCATAACTAAGAGGAGAAAATTATTCTACTCAAGTAACAAGATCCACTGCTCCATTATGTAAAAGAAGATGTTTGTTTCATATGTACTGAACAGGGTAATAAGAAAAATACTTTACATTTGTGTGCCACCACGACAATTAGTGATAAAGTTTAGCATTGTGCAGAAGTACTTGGAGATACACGGCTTCTGGTGATGCTCGCTGACGGTGATTTGGTACCACAAGGAGCCAAATATCATCTTACGTGTTTGGCACAGTTATACAAAAAATGTAGTAAAACTCCAGAGAAATAAGACCAAAATAAAGGTCATATGTGGAGTGAGTCCGAACAAGCTGAATTTTCCTTCGTTTTGATGTTCTAATGAAGCACAAAAAAATCTCATATGCCTACTCTTGTAAGTCTTGAGATATCGAAGGTCAAAGATCATGAAAACCGGTTTTTCGCAAAAATCTCTACCAAATTTTCCATATACATTTTTTTCGTACGATCAACCGTTTTTGAGATATAGCGTGATAAAACGGGAGCGCGCATTCAAAATAGGTCATACTGTATTTTACTGCGGAGATAAATGCATTTTTCTTTTTCTTGTACATATGCCTTCCTCCTTTTCTTCGTCTGGTTCCACTAGCACCTCGATCAACAAATTATTTTTGTCAGATGCTTCCTCTATATACAGGGTGTCCCACTAAGGTCGGCCAGGTACGATATTATGGAAACCATAGACCTTACGGCTTCGGGATTTTTTTTTTCTTCACTAAATCGGCCAAGAGAAATTGATGGAAATTATTTTCAAGTTTCTAAGATGGCCGCTAGGGGGCACAATTACGATGATATAGCTAAAAATTCATATTTTCTCAAGAAATCGCTATATAAGGTACCGTTTCAATAACAGAAATCAAAAGTTCATTAATTTTTACGCTAGTTTGGTTATTAGGTTTTTTTCGTATCTTTACTAAAAAGGGCTAGTGAAGAAATAGTTTTAGAAATTGCTGTATCTTCCATACCCCTCATCCAAACTCATTCAATTTGGTCTTATTTGGAAGAGAATTTCATTGTTATTAAGAAAACCACTTCGTTCGGGGTCGATAATTCCCACCGCGTCTTCTAGAGAGCGCTCTTTATCCAGGATCCAGTTTTTCCTAATTTTCATGAAAAATCCAAATGGCAGGATTTTTTTTTTTAATGCTGTGCTTGAAGAGCAAAAAAATATCTACATTTTGGCGCAAACCGCAATTCAATATCTGCATTCGTTTCCAAGTTACGTAAGGTCTATGGTTTCCATAATATCGTACCTGGCCTACCTTAGTGGGACACCCTGTATGTTTGCAAAACCTCTCTAAGCTCAAGGTCACTGAAGTCTGTATGATTATTCAGAAACTGTACATAGGATTGAATTCATAATTCATACTAACATGGAATTTTTGTTTCTGACCATGGATTCTAAGAATTTAGCCAATACTGTACAACTTTTGTATTTACACCTTTCATCTAGTTGTAAAGGTGAAGGATCTAGGTGAAGTGTCAATATATATATATATATATATATATATATAAAAAAACACCCTGTGTACTTGAACAATAACTTATTATATAAAGTCAGAATCTGGAACATAATCCACTTTTTGTAAATCTGCCTTTCAACAGGAATTAGTAATAATGTTACTTTACCAAACTAGTAACATGTGACAAGTTATTCAAGTACAAATGAGTGAATTGTTGCGGAACTTATGGGTGGACCTCTGCGGGACGAGCGTAGCGAGTTCCGTTATCAATATGTTGTTTAATTATACGATACTAAACTGACTCACTCAAATGTGCGTTATTCTCATTAGTTTAAAAATTACACGTTTCAGGTGAATGTCTTATTTGAACAGTTCAACAGTATATTGGTGATTAGATGGCTGCGGAACTCGCTACGCTCGTCCCGCAGAGGTCTGGATGGCTTGAAAAATAACTTATTATATAAAGTCAGAATTTGTAAGATTATCTACTTTTTGTCAATTTGTCTTTTAACAGGAATTAGTAATGTTATCTACTTTACCAAACTAGTAATATATTATGACAAGTTATTCAAGTACAAACGAGTGGATTGTTGCGGAACTTATGGGTGGACCCAGCCATCTATTCACCAATATGTTGTTCAAGTACAATACTAACCTGATTCAGTCAGTTGTGAATTTTTCTCATTAGTTCAAAAACTACACGTTTCAGATGAGTGTCTTATTTGAACAGTTCAACAGTATATTGGTGAGCAGATGGCTGCGGAACTCGCTACGCTCGTCCCGCAGAGGTCCACCCATAAGTTCCGCAATAATCCACTTATTTCTACATACATAGGAAACTGCAAGATTATTCAAAAACCGTACCTAGGATTGAATTCATACTGACATCGAAAGGTTGAGAGGGTAATCAGAAACAGGAAAATACCAGTGGCATACACTCGATCGACCTACGAATGGAGAACCATACGAAAATATACAAAACTGTATGGTGATTCAAAAACTGTAGGTACCTACATAGGAAACTGTATGATTATTCAAAAACTGTACATAAAATTGAATTCATACTAACATGGAAAGCTTGAGGAAATAGTCAGGTCTGACTATGAATTCTAAAAATTTAACTAAAACTGCACAACTCTTGTATTTACACTCATCATCTACATGTAAAGGTAAGGGCTGCAGATGGGGTGGCAAATTATAACACTCTGTACATAATCCACACATACCTACATACAATAGAGCACTTATTTTTTTTAGATTCCTTGGAAAAAGAGTGGCAAAAAGAGGAGCCATGTCTTAAACGTTCTTACAACATTCTTTCAGAACAGATCCCTGATACTGATGATACAACATTATCCCACGTAACTTGGGCAGCATTCCATGCAAATAGACAAGACGAAGCATTAGCGCCACGTTCCATCAATGCATTAGTTCCCCTTTTTTACGAAAAATTTGTTACATCTCCGATGATAAAGCATGGCATTAACATAATAAAGCAATTCACGCAATTTTTAAACCCTGATCAAATACCTGTTTTATGCGTTGATCAGCCACTGTATAAAAATTTTGCAATGGACCTGGCCTGACATATATGGTGAGGAAAAATTGTTGTTCTCTTTGGACCTTTTCATGTAGAACAATCATTTTTTAAAATCCTGGGACAACTTTTGCACGGGAGTGGGTGGATAGGCTTAGTAGTCAATTCTGGATTCACGACGCTTGGATATGCTGAAAGCCTTATGAAGGTATATTGATTTAGAAACAATTAATAAAAAGCTTGGGATGATACATTTGTGTGTTGTGCATGTCAAAAAGTCCACAAATTATCACCAAATAACAGGTGTGGTGCTCCATTATTTGCTACTTGATGCGTATGCCAGTGAAGACTCTGGAAGTTGCATTCCCTTATACAGGAGTGGATCGATCAGAATCCAGCAACATCACCGACTTTTACATTTTGACTTTCAGTTCCTAATCTACTTCTTCTTTGTTAGAGCGGTTCAAATGGGAAATTATAAAAAATTAAAAAATGCACTTAAGTCAATGTTTCAGTGGTATTTTGTCTTTGATCACCACAACTATGCACACTGGCTCAATATCCATATAAGAGATTTGGAGGAACTTATTGTTAAAGCACCATCAGTTCACTACCAGTTTATGTCTAAGTCTAGTAGGTATTCAGTAAATTAATAATCACTTTTTCAGGTAATTTTGTAGTACCGTCAAACGGGGTTACTTGGGACATAGGAGTTACTTGGGACATTTGGCAACGGTGGAAAATTTTGACAGTTGTGAACAGCGGGGTGTTCAAAACGTTCGTTTTTGTTCGTGTTTATCAACTTTACGTGTTTAAAATAGATATTTATCAAATTTCCATCAAATTGACTCAAAAGTAGGTAATTTATATATTTTTTAAAAACCATAGTTTTTTTATTTAAAAAAATGGGTGGCAAAACTTTGGTCGCCAGGAGGTTATTTTTTAAAATTTTCCAGGAATGCTTCTAAATATGGTCAACTTGGCTATTTTCCACTATGTTGCCATGTGTATTTTTTTATTAAATTTTTTTTCTAATTATTGACAAGCAAAATTATAAACAAATATCTGATGTGGGGTTAAATGGGACATGTCCCATTTTAACCCCATAAAAATTAAAACAAATTATTACGGTTTAACAATGTGTCCCATTTTAACTTATAAAAATAAGTTGGTTTTTGTTTTCAGCAAGGCTATAGGCGATAAGTTTGATATTTATTTAAAACAATTATGCGTGAAAATATTGTTAGTTACCAGTTATATATTATTTATAAAGAAAAAATGTTCACCTTTTTACTCAAAAGTTTGGTTTTCTTCTTTATTTTTTTAAGTTTTACGCAGCTAAAACTTTTTTATTGTGTTTCTTATTGTCCCATGTTGCTTTAGGAAGCTCATAACTAAAGAATTAACGAAAATTTCAAGATGTCCCAATTTACCCCAACTTCCCTGGTAACTTGGGACAGCCACTAATTAATTTTTTTTTTTGGCTTCGTATTTTTTTTACTATTAATTATGTTAATTTTCATTGGAAAATAACCTGACTCAATAATTGAGCATGATTTGGAAATGATTTTCCTAAATTCATCAAAGTTATCCAAACTTGAATCTCGAAATGGTCCCAAATAACCCCGTTTGACGGTACAAAAAAAAAAGACTATTGGTGGACCCGAGGTTGCTAGAGGATACTTTCAACGAGACAGTGTATTAAAGGTAGATGGGCTAACTACTCATCATGAAGAATATAGACTTTTTCAAAAAATGGCTCTCAAAGATTCCTATCTTCAACTTGAGAATCCTTTCACAATAAAGGGAAATAATCTTATTGTATTGGATATGAGAGCCGTTGTAGATCAAATAGGTGTGGATAATCTTGATATTCTGGAAAAAACGGGCCTCTCACTATATAAACAGTTTGTGGATGAGAGAGTAATACAGAAAACTAAACTTGTAGCTGATCCGCTGAAACCAAAATAACGCAAGTATAGACTAGACCGCGCATTAGTGCAGTAAATGTACTTGAAGCTGACGTACAGTTGTTTTCAAGACTGTTGATAGTTAGTACAGTCTGGGACTTGGAGTTTGATACGTTTCTCGAGTACGAGAATCAAGTTTTTTCCGCAAACGTCAAAAAATGATGACTTTTTCAA